CCATTCCCCAAGGCTTCTCCTTATATACAGGAAGCAGACCACATCCCTAAGGCAGCTACTCAGCCACTCACAGTAGATTCCACCATGAAGTTGATTACCAGTCTCATCATGTGGAAGTAGCTGCCCAGCCACTCAACCAGGCCCAGCCAGGTTGACACATAAACTTAACTACCACAAAGATACAAAAGAGAATGTTTCTTTTACTTTTCCTATCATACCAGAAGCTAACCAATCACAAAGTAATTGGGCAGTCTACTTCTGTAGTGGTACCACCTCGGAAACCCAAGGATGGGTCTCTATGAGCTGGCTCCAATTTGACGATTGCATGTTGTTGTATATAAGGGAAGAAAAGTTAATATAGAATGAAAATTGGGGAAATACATAGTGAAGGAATAAATAAAATGAATTGGAAATTTTCAGAGGTTTTCTCAAAGAAAAATGTAAACTGGTCAAGAGGGAAATAGAAGGACATAAATGCAGAGAAATCACAAATAAATGATATTAGGACAGCATAGAAAATCTGTAATAGGGGTTTATTCTCTTCCACATTTCATGCTAATTAAAAATTAAACTTTTATGTGTATGTGGAATGGTTACTTGCACAAGAGTTAACCATTATTTAAGCTGCTTATGGAAAAGGGAGAGGGGGAATTAAGAAAAAGCCTACTTTTGTGAATGATGTTATGATAGTTCAAACAATTTCATGAAAGAAGAGCTACCATCAAATAATTCCTTGGAGAGAAATGACATAATTCTTAATTAGTCCCTAAGTTACTCTCTAGGCTTTCACCATATGAGTCTAACAAGTCATTAGTGGGTATTACCTTTATGAATTTGTCTTCAAGCTTTAAATAGACAAACTGAAGATAGATATAGAATAAGGACCAAAATGAATAGCTATAAAGCTGAAATAAAGACGATACATAATGATACCGTAGAAGCTACAGCATAATTAATGGTAAGAAACTACAGTGGACTCTGAAATCATACTGCTCGTGCTTGAATCCCATTTTCCCTTACTGGCTTTGTGACCTAAGGTAAATTTTGTCTGGGGATAGTAATACCTCATAGAATGATGGTGCAGATTTTAATGAAATAATATATAAAGTGCTAAGCACAGTATCTAGCTTATATTAGTTGTTAATAACTTGACTACCTTTTCAGTATTTTATTTTTTCTAGTAGTGTCTATGTAGTTTAATAAGCTTATAAAATAGATGAAAGATCTTAAGTAATAATGTTTGTATATTTAAGCTGTTAGGTGTAAGTGAGTTACCATTAAAATTATGTGGAAAGCAGACATAAAAGGCTTACAAAGTTAGGCTGACTTTGGATGTAAATATTAGTAGTGAAAGTTTGCTGACTGGGGATAATTTACTTATTTCAGAGTACTGAAGTCTATCTTTTTCCTAATCTCTTTTCCCCAAACTGAAAGATTAAACACTAAGTCTTTTGCATTTTTTTTATTATGGTACGTTTCAAACAGATATGAAAGTGGTAGACCTCCATGAACCTGTCATCCAGCCACAGACAATTATCAACTCCCATGACCATTCTTCACCTAAAATTATTTTGAAACAAATTTCAGATAAATAATTTTAAACATAATACTTAATGAACACTATTTTGTGGCGTATTCTAAAAGATGTATAAGACAAAGTCTTTGCTATTGGGATTTGAGAAGGCTAAAAAATAACACTGGTTACTGTCCTTTCCCAAGTTTGGAACCAATTTAGAAATAAAGTGTAGGCGTGAGATAGTCAAAATATCAGCTTTATTACTAATAGGCCTAAATTTAGACTCCAGCATGCCCTCCCAAGATCTTAACACTAAAACTGGAGGCTTTTTCCTTGCATTGGCAGAGCCTGCCCTGGCAAGCTGAGCAGATATTTTGTTCCTTTGAGGATGCAGCATTCCAAATTAAAAGGACCCCAAAGGATTGAGTCACAGATAGCTCTTTCTCTTAAGTCACTTCTGGTCCCATGGGGTGGAGTACATGAAGGAGTAGAGAAAGGTTAGAAGCTTCCTTCCGTTCTTTTCCCTTCCTAAAAGCTAGAGTAGAATTTTCCTTCACCAGGTGGAAACCTCAGTGGGGTGGATAGTTTCCCTCAGAGTTGCTAGCTGCTGTTGAGCCAGCCCCACACGTGGGGACCCTGTGCGCAGCTGACTGAAACTTCCCAGTCCTGTGCCACCTCTGTGATCGGTTGCATTGTGAGCCATAGGGTTTCCATTGGTTGATTTTTAGAAGCGGATTGCCCAGACTTTCCTCCTAGACTGTCTTAGTCTATAAGCTGCTTGAGACCTCTTATCTGCTGACACATGGGTGTTGGTTGCACATGAATCTAACCAGATCTCCCTCATGGAAGGTGAGAGGTCTACCACTGAACCACCAATGCCCTCACCTAGTATATATTATTAGGAAATTTTTTATCATCCAGTATGATCACATCTAGATCTTGTCCTTTTTTTTTTCCCCCTTAAATTACAGTATTTATTACTACAGTTGATGGACATTCACCAGGTATCTACTCTTTACCAGGTACTAAGGTGATGGCAAAGGAGCTCTGGTGGTGCAGTGCCTGAGGCATATGACTGCTAACCAGAAGGTTGGTGGTTCAAGCCCACCAGCTGCTCTGTGGAAGGAAGATGAAGCAATCTACTTCCATAGGTTTACCACCTTGGAAACCCAGTGGGGTCACTGGACTTGATCACAGTGGGTTTTTGTGTCTTTGTTTGTTTATGGTGATGGCAACAGTAATAATAACAACAATAATCTTTAACATTCACTGAATGTTCAGTATAGTAGTCCATTGAATCTAATGTTATTTGTTATAAAGATGCCCAGTTTTCTGTGTACTGCCAGAAAAGAGAAAACCCTGGCACTTAAACAATTATACATCATTCATTGTAAATTGCACCCTAAATTGAGAAATGTTAAAAAGTTAAAAGTATCTTTTTTAGATAAACTTTGTGAGTTAATCATTTAATTGTCCCAGTCCTATGAGATAGGTACCATCATTATACTCATTCTTACACGTAAGGAAACTCAGCCACAGAGAAATAACTGCCCAGGGTCACACAGGTAGCAGGTAGGTTGGAGACCAGGCATCCTATGTCCAGAACCCTACCCTCAACCATTATACTATACTGTCTTCAACCAAGGGTGACTAAAACATAGTAATTTCTTTTAAGGAATTTATGGGACAGGCAGAAGGGGGAAACAAGTACGTGATTTATGCTATAATGTGATAAATGCTGTAGTAGGTATGCATTAGAGATTATGGGAATGCAGAGGAGACTTGCTCTGTCTGAGGAGGTGTATGTATGTGTACCAACTCATCTTCTCTCTTACAACAAATTAGCAGGTATTTTAGCTTTAAATAATTATATTTAGATTCTCTAAAACCCCTGCATTGTTTTGGCTGTGTGTTGATCTTTGATTCCTTCCTGTTGCAGCTAAAAAAATATATATCATTACCCTATTTATACCACTTTTATTTTAATGTCTATATAATATATAAGCTCTGAGATTCACTCGAAACCAAAAACCAAACCCACTGCCGTCGAGTCGGTTCCGACTCATAGCAACCCCTCCTTGGATTTCCAAGGCAGTATCTCTATGGACATATTGACAGAGAACTTCCAGAGGTTCAAGCCGGATTCAGAAGAGGACGTGGAACAAGGGATATCATAGCTGTTGTCAGATGGATCTTGGCTCA